TCGATTTTAAGATTTTCAAACCCGACAGCCTGAAAATAATTGGTAGGGACATTTTTTTTTCCAAAAAATATGTGACACCTAATAACCCTCCAAATCTCGTTTAGAGCCGTGTTTACGGAGATAAATCGATTTAAAGATTTTCATACCCGTCAGTCTGAAAATAATGGGTTTGGGACATTTTTTTTATTGGGAAAAATTTTGTGACACCTAAAAACCCTCCAAATCTCGATAAATCGGGATAAATCGATTTAAGGATTTTCTTACCAGCCAGCCTGAAAATAATGGGTTGTGGATTTTTTTTTTGGCAAAAAAATTCTGATACCTATGATCTATGATTTTGGGCATTTTGGACATGATTTTTTTTTTTGTTTTGGTTCAAGAAACTCGAAAAAAAAATTGAATAAAATTATATGGACTTAGAAAAGAACTCAAGTTTTTGTGACTTGAATTTTTTTCTCGATATTTTGTCAAATGCTAAAGCTACCGGGTTTCAAAGATTTAAAAAAAATCGGGCTTTGAAAACATTTCTAGAGCTTGAAATTCATTCCAGAAAAATGTTTGGACATTTTAGGTTTGGAAAAGTTAAGATCACAAAGTAAAAAATCAGGGTATTGGGACCAGAGATTTTTCCACACCTCAGTAGATTTGTTAAAAAAGAATTCAAATTTTTTTGAAGCGCCCAAATTTTGAAGATAACGGATGTGAATATTTAAATCACGCAGTTTGGGGCCTCCCTTAGCTCAGTCGATAAAGGCGCAGCTACAAAGCAAGACCATGCTGGAGGTGGCTGGGTTCAATTCCCGGTCCGGTCTAGGAATTTTTCGGGTTGGAAAATTTCTCGACTTCCCTGGGCATAGAAGTATGATTGGACTTGCCACACAATTATACCAATGCAAAAATGGTACAGGCATCGAAAGCACTCAATTAATAACTGTGGAAGTGCATCTAGTACACTAAGTTGAGAGCACGCAATAAGCTAATATGCGATATGCAATAAGCTTGAAAAGCGAAGAAGAAGAAGTTTGAAGCGACAGGGAATTGTGAATATTTTTGTCTGAGACTATATTCATAATTCACGGAACATTAAGCACATTTAGAGAACTTCACGGATGTCCAGACAAGTCAGAGAAAATTGTTTCGTGCGCGTTTATAATGTTTATAAAACTTAAGGCAAAATTACGGATACTTCAAGGCAAAGTCCCGTGAGCATTATAATATTTACAAAACTCAAGGAAAATTGTGGAACCTTCAAGGTAATTTAATTAATTTCATTAAAATTGCAGATCCTTATTGAAAATACTGACAAATTCAGGGCAGTCTAGAGAACTTTAAGGAAATGCATAAATCTTTTGGGCAGTTTTAATAATATCAGAAAAGTCTAGACTACTGAAGAAGTTAAGAACCTCAATGAAAATCATAGAACCACAAACAAACAGACATAACACTCGCAATTTGTTCATCGAACACACATTTGACGGTCAATTTAAATGTTTTTAAGTTGGTAGTACCAACAATCAATACGAAACTAACGATTTTAAATTGGCTCACTACTTGACTAGCCTATTGGTCCCAAGCAAACGATTAACGTTCCCCATTCTAGTCGAAATTCTAGAACTACGCAATGTTTGTTTTGATTCGCTATGAAAGTTTGACAGATAAAATGAGAGGTTATTGGTTTTTCCTATGTTTCGAGGGGTGAATCGATTAGCTTGGGACCGAAGAGAGTACCAGAGCTGCGCCAAAAAGTTGAGCACGTTATTTCGGGACCTTCTAGTCTTAGAGTTACCTCTATGGTAGTACTGCCATCTGTTGAGCGCACTGCTTGTCACAGTGTACTCAACAGATGGCGGTAGTGTTTTAGCGACGATTTTTTACAGTGAGAACTATTGAATATAATATGTCTTAATTATTTCGTTTTGATTCCAAGAAAACTGGCGGTCATTTCACCGTAGAACATTTCGCCACAACATTCCGATTCTTCATTTGGCGTGGAACTGCTCTAAAGGTTAATTGCAGGGTGGATCTAAATGGACTATTATAGGGATTAGGAGTAGAATTCAAGGGAGTTCTATAGCAACTCTAAAGGAATTTCAGAGAGCATTCGGAGTAGGGTTAAAATGAATTAACCAACTACGACAAACTTAATGATGATACAATTCCGATCATACGTGATCACTAACAGCTGAATATCTTTTAAATTTTAATCCACAATCATAGAATTCTGAGGAGAACTTAAATTTAATATCGATAATAATTCCAAGCAAAAGAATCTAATTCTGAATATCTTTGCGAAATTTGATGCTAGTTTGAAGATATTTTCAAGGAAATTTCTAAGATAATTCATAAGAATTTCAAGGGAATTTCCGAGAAGGTTTCAAAGAGCGAATTTGCAAGGAAATTTTGAGCATTATTTCCACACAAAAATAGGAGAAGCGTTTCAGGAGATTCTACGGAAATTTCAAATTCTAATGAACGCTTCATGAGAATCCTAGGAAAATTCCAGAGAATTCTCGCAACGGAATTTTGAGAATAATTTCATAAGAATTCTGAGGAAAATACTTACGGAATTCTAACGGGGCCTACCCAGAGATTTCTGAGGAACTTTCAAAGTGAAAATTCAATCAATTTTTTTCGAGAATTTAAGAAAATCTTGGACGATGTTTGAAACTCTGAAATCCAAAACTCTTTGCACTCAATTCTGTTTTCACGCGATGTTTTTCGCCTCTATTTTTGATGGTGTGTTCCCAAATTGAAACCAAATTGAATATAACTAGCTTGAAAAATTATAAATAAAATACGGGAAAATATGATGGTATTGAAAATGCGTTCTATTAAAATAGAAAGGCAACGTCAAACGAACACGTCGTATTCTCAATAAATCATTACAATAGGTTATGGGCCTATTCACCGCTGAAAATTGAGGCTCTGAAGATTCGAAATGACCACCAGCTTCGAGTAGAAGTCAGAATTCGTAAGCTCACGGGTTTTCAAGTCTTCCCGGAATCGAGCTTACCTAGCTTACCCCGGCCGTCAAAACTTACCTCGAGCTTGAAGATCTTTGGGAGGGCGTCAAACCCGAGAGGAAAGCGGACGGAACTTTCGAGGAAGTCAACGCCACGAAAAACTGAAAGGCAAGAGCGAAAATAATTCTGTTGCTGTATTCAACGAGCTATGTTCATGTGGCGAAAGCGACAACAGTGAAGGAAGTCTGGGACAACCTGGAGAAAGCGGTTGAAGATTCTGGACTCAAGGATTCAACAGGCAGCAGAAAACGTTCAACCAACCCAAGACGGAATCAAAAGGTTCGAAGTGCAAGAAGTGTAATAAATACGGCCACATCGCAAAAGACTAGTAGCAGTTTGAAAGAACAAGTATTTTGCACTGTGTTGTCGATTGAGTCTAACAGCAGCACCGATTGGTCATTCGACTCCGGAGCAACAGTCCACATGACTCACAACAAGGCTCTGTTGAAGGATCTGAGAAGTCATCGAGTATTAATGTTGTTGTGTCCAACAAGGGCGGAATGAGCATTGAGGCTATCGGAAAACCCGTTCTGAGGCCAGATTGTCGGGAAAGCAGTTATGGACTTCAAGTCAACGAGGTACGATATATACCTCAGTTATCAGAGAATCTCCTTTCCTTTTTTGAAAACGAAATGACAATTGGAAGTCGTGAATTGAAAGCTGATCGAGGAGGTGGTCGCACGGTGATCAGACTGGATGTTGAAGAGACTGTGTTACTATCGTCAGAGGTTACGGAAAACAACGAGTGCAGCGGCTGTACCAATTATTCCCGAGAGTGACTTCGAATACGATGATTACGAAGAAGCGTTAAGCAACGTTAGCAGCAGTTCAACAGACACCGATATACACCGCACACCGCACCAAGTTTCATATCCGCCTGGCGGTCGGGAGACCAATCTCCCAGGCAAGTATGAGCAGTTTATTGTTTCGACCATAGGCTTGCCCTGTTGCCGCTCCTCACAGACTTCCCACTCTGCGCAAGGTGCGGAGCCGAACCAATCTGTGGAGCCAGACGAGTTGGGCCAAGTTAGTGGATTGGCGACTCAGCAGCAGATCGACAATGTGAATATCGACATTTCAAACGATCCTGCCACGCCACAAGAAGCCGCGATGCCGCGTCCCGATGCCTAAAATGGAAGGTAGCCATGCATGAGAACAAAGCGCTGACTCAAGCAGTCGAACCGAGTCTTGAACAACAAGTTGGATTCGATGCTGAAGAAGTTTGGTCTTACTCAGGCGAAGTATGACCCCTGTGTGTATTATCACATTGATTCCCGGCGGATTATATTTGTGGCAGTCTATGTTGATGACGTGATGTTTTCAAGCGATGACGATTGAATCGATCAAGTCAAGGTGTTCTTGAACGAGAACTTCCGGATAAAGGACTTAGGCGAACCTAAGAGATGCTTGAGCATACACATCAGCCGGACTGAGGATACCGTTGCATTAGACCAAGAAGCTTACGTTATAACCTTTAAATTCCCTTGTAATTCAACTCTGCCTTAACATTTTGTTTGGGATTGTCTTAGAATTCTTCTCTAAATTCTTCTGAAAATTAACTTAAAATCCCCCCTAGAATTGTCTAAAAAATCTTCTCGAGGTGCCCTTGAAATTATCCTAGGGATTCCCTTAAAACGCTTCTCAGAATTTCTTTGGAACTAGACCCTTGAAATTCGATTCCTTTGGTATTTTTCGCAAATCCTGTAATTCCGAAAGACGTTCAAGTATGTTGATGGAAATGGGATTCTGGTAAGTATTTTGGGTGATTTCCGAGGGTAGGACCACAGAGGAGAAAATTCAATAGTTGAGGAAAGTTCCTGCTATTACTGAAAACGAACGACACGATTTGAAGAATAATCAATAATTATTAAGTGGCATTTCAAAAATACCCCGGAAGGGTGACAGAAGAATTTCACTGGGTAAGCCCAAAATTTTTAACAATTTTTGAGTGAAAAAAAAAAAAGTTTCAAGTCTCACCTCTTCCAGGGCGGCAATGGTCTGCCGGCATTGAGCCATCCGCGACACGAAGGTCGACGTCGTCGGCGAGTTGTAGTCCTCTCGGGTTTCCTCGAGGAACTCGCTCACACCGATTAATCCAGGCATTTTGACTGCGCTCGTTAATTGTTCCAGCTGACTCCTGAGTAATAATTTATTTACCAACGCTCGCCGTTCGACTTCAACGACAGGTGGTTAGACGGTGGTTCACGCGACTCTCTTCTGCCTCTTGCTGCACTGAGCCTTCGACGAACAAACACACCTCGTGCACACACACACACACGCGGTAGGGTCGATTTTTTCGCTCTTTTTTTTCAGCCTGTATGCTACCCGATGGGTTGTAATTGAATTTTTCACTCGTCGTATAATTAGATTCACTCGATATTTACGTTGATTAAACACTGGATTTTTTGCAATATTTTCCACTTTGCGCCTGTAGTAGCATCAGAAGCATCACCACTCTCTACTTGTTATTGTTCCAGAGAAACAACATTCACGGGGGCCTAAAAATATCCTCCCGTTCTACGGCGGCGGATTTCGCGTTTTGACACCTTGCCTAATTTTACTCACTCACGCAAAGGAACGGGCAGAAGGCCCCCGAATCGGAAAACGCACACTAGCACAAACAGCTCGGTTGCTGCTGCTTCTGCTTCTGCTTCCAGACGACATCGATAATTTCGCATTCCATTCCCTTGCGGCGCTTTTGGTTTCTGCTGCTGCCTGGCCTGGGGTCACTCCGGGTTCTCTCCGTCGATGATGATCTTCACCAAATCTGCACTAAATCATTTCCAGTGTTTGAATGCTTGTTGTCATTTTTGCGAACTTTTCCCTTTTCTTTGTCAAACTGTTGACAGCTGCTGCTGCCGTGGACGTTGGCTCGGGTGATGACAAAAATTCCAAGGGGTTTGTTGCGTTGATTCGCTACTCGGATTGGGAGAAGCGCTAGCGCTTCTTTCCAGATTCCCCTCCTGAGAATTCCAAACACTCACTCTAGCAATAAAATTTTGCAAACTGAATCATTATTTTTCCACCAGATAAAAAAAAATTGTCACCGGGAAAACGGGTTGAAACTTCCGCAAAACCGTCACCCCCGAAAGAGTCCCAATTCCGCGCAAGGAAAAAATGCCAATGAAAACACCCACTTTTTCACTCCTCTGCTTGCAGCTCTCGCTGCCCTTTCATCGAGGCCGATAATCCTCCACAAGATCCCTGCACTGCACTCGAGACTCGACACGCCCGAATCACCTCCACTAATCCGTCGCGATTAATTCGACCACTAAAACGAAAATCCATCAAATTTTCCCCGTAGAAAATTTACAGCTTCTTTTTCCACCAGCAATCTCATTGATGTTTTTTTTTTTCTGCTCCACTCTCTGGCTCTGCTTTTTCGGGTGACTCGTCGTCGAACGTCGAAGTCGAAGCGCGACGACAACAGACAAGCAGACACAGCACTCTTCTACTCGCGCATCGCGACGCTCTCTTTCGACGTTCTCGCTCTTCTTCTTTCGTCCGTTGCTGCCGGGCGGATTTTATGTCTCCCTGTCCCTTTTTTGCCAACGGTTCAAACAACAATAGAAGACACAAACACCCGCACCTGCGGTCTGCTCTCGCCTGTATTGCAAACAGCAGCGGAAAACAACGGCTTCTACTCAGCTCACTCACGATTCGCGTTCGAAAAGCCCGACCGTCGATCTGCAACTGAAGACTCGCGAAACTCTCGCGGCGGCTGGCTTCAAGCAACCAACCACCATCTGCCGCTTCAAGGTCACTAACACCAGAGGTGAGACCCAGGTTGCATTCCCTTTGTGTTAGATAACACCGATAACACCAATCAATTATTCAGCCGAGAACATGAAGTAAAAGGACACCATTGGTGATTTGTTTTGTTTTGGATTCAGCTTAAATAATTGGAAAGTTTAGTCAATAACGTTATTAACTAACTTTGCTATTAAAATTTTATACTATTTTTCAAAATCCATGATGAAAATAATCACACTCGTATACACTGTACCTTTAGTTATGAATCTTGGCTGTGCGGCTTATTCTCCTTCATCTTCTCCAATGTTATTTAAATAAGGTCTGGGCCAACAGGCTTATTGGTGTTAGTGAAATGAGCCAAAATAAATGTTTAGTGGCGTTCGTATTGCATAGAGTTCTCTACCCCCGTTAGTATTAGTGAGCAGTTTCACTAATCCAAGCGTTTTACTGGTTGAAAATAAAAAAAACAAACCGCTGTCAGGTCGACCACTTTGACAGCTGATTTCGTGGTTGAAAATAATAAACAAACGATTTTACACGGCTACACTAGCAATGTTGTATTGGTGAAATCTTGCGGCAAGAAGTCAATTGCAATGTTTATCATTTTACACGAAACAGCTGTTGGCAGTAACGTAAATCTCACTGTTCGCTGTATGGAATGTTATTATAGAGTGACGTCGTCACTTGAGTGCTCAGCGATGTTTACAATATTTATGCTTCTAACACCAGCAAGCAGCCTGTTGGCCCGAACCTTGTATAAAGTTATTGCATCTTCTCAACCCGAACCGTGCAAGGTCGATCAACAAATGGAATTTATTGGTTTTTATTTTGACATGACGCGCATGTCACAAAATTATTGTAAACAAATGGAGATGTGAGCCAGTTTCAGAGAAGGCACCCAGAGAAAATCGCCTTCTAGGCAGTAAATTTTGATCGATTGTGTGTGAAATTAACCACTTCATTCGAGCAGTTAAAATGACGTTTACTACCACTCGAACTTTGAAATAAAACATTATTTTGAGATTTTTTCTCCTAGAACCACAAGAAAAGTAGCCTACATTTGCGCGTTTCATAAAAAAATAGAAATTAGTTGGTCCAGTTTTGTGAAATCACTGGTAGAAAGTTACGCCAAAACTGCTTGACAAAGTGGTCAATTAAAAGTAAACATAGCGCGCTAAATTCCATTATTTTTGCTGATTCTAAATCGAACTTCATGGAGTGAATCGTCCATTTTCAGCAATGTTCACCAAAACTTGGAGAAAAAATCACTAAAACTTAATGTAAAATACACTTTTTACTTCGTAATACAACAAGCTGGGGCGCTTTTGAAGTTTTGACGTAGAACTACGTCTTTGATTTCTATAGGGGGGTACACTTTGTGAAAACCAAAAATGGAACATGTAACAAAATTATGAAATATTTTGAACGTTAATAACTCAGGTGCCCCTGAACCAATTTCAATAATTTTATCATCATTCGATCAGAAATATTCCTATGCATCTGTTAAAATTAAGAGTTCATCATTCTTCAAAATTTCACAATTGAAAACTGCACGAATGTGCAACTGTTGCTGTGATAATTAAAATTATTTCCGATTGCCTGCGAAAAGCGTTTTTCCTAACACAGATTTCAATGTTGAATTCCATCCGGTCTCACCAAACGTTGTTTATTCAATCAACGCGTGGTGAGTGGTGGCGTTCTCCAGTATACAATGTAAGGCTGCCTACAAGCAGCGAACTGCAGTCCATATGAGCATCCATAGAAGGAGGGAGAAGCCGCACCACTATTGATCAGAATCAGTAGCTCTTCGTGAGTCGCTGTGGGCCATCTATGTCAAGCGCGTCATACTAAAGATTATAAACAGAGTGAACCCCGCTCAAATTGGGTTCTTTAAGGGTATTGAGGTAAATTCAAATTCGTAATCTGCATTAGAAATGGAACCCAAACACAAAATTTCATCAATTTTGGTACACTGGAACTATTTCAAATAAGAACGATTACATTTGCAAAAATCACCCTATTAGCACCCCTCGGTGTCGCTTTGTATGGGAGCGAGCTGTCAGCTTGTCAGTTTAGTGTCAAACAGTGAAGTTATTATTTTGCTTTAAATCTTGATTTAAAAATCGAGATGAAAGTATGTGGGTTCGAAAAAAATATCGGTTTGCTCAGAAAATGAAGCTCTTTCAGATGATATATAAAAACCGATATATTTTTCAAAATTAAAGAACCCAATTCCTATTCTTACACAAAACACAAGGTCCTGCTGCAGTTAACAAATAAGATTTATTATATAAGACCACATAGTCCTACGTCACCATTGCGTACAACCAACAATCAATACGAAACTAACGATTTCAAATTGGCTCACTACTTGACTACCCTAATAAAAATGCTATGGTTATTAGGGTAGCCTATTGGTCCCAAGCAAACGATTAACGTATCCCATTCTAGTCGAAATTCTACTACTACGCAATGTTTGTTTTGATTCGCTATGAAAGTTTGACAGATACAATGAGGGGTTATTGGTTTTTCCTATGTTTCGAGGGGTGAATCGATTAGCTTGGGACCGAAGAGAGTACCAGAGCTGAGCCAAAAAGTTGAGCACGTTATTTCGGGACCTTCTAGTCTTAGAGTTACCTCTATGGTACAACTCCATAGGACTGTCCCTTGTAGTTTTTGACAAATGTTCCACGTGAGATCACAAATTACAGTTTGTTCAGTTAATTTGAACAATTGGGTTGCTTGGGGGTATTGAGGTGAATACATATTTGTTATCTGCATTAAAAATGGAACCGAAACCCAAAATTTTATGAATTTTGGTATACTGGAACTGTTTTAAATAAGTACGATTACATTAGCAAGAATCGCCATCTTAGCGCCCCTTGGTGGGTGTCGCCACCAAAAGCTACTTTCTTCTCCGGTTAGGAAGAGTCTTTCGCTTACTAGGTCAGACACTGTTTCTCGATTCTAGGAGCTACTTTTTTCTCCGGTTAAGGAGAGAAGTTTTCACTTCTAGGCCGAAAGTTCTTTCGGATTCAAAAAGAGAAGAATCTGGAGTAACCTACGAAACTTAATTTTATTCAACAAAATTGTACAAAGTGATCTTACGGCTACGTGTTGCATTAGCAACTTATAATTATGTAAACTTTTACATGATTTGTCCAGGGTTTAACATATCCCTTTCAATACCGAACTTTAACCTAGATTGCCTATTCTAATTAGCTAGGATTCCGATCGCCCTTGAAAGGGTAAATTTGTGTTGTTTAGACCTTATATACTATGCCCTCTCAGATCTGGGATTTCTCAGATATCTTGTAAGTTTATTTATTTTTATAACTCAGATCTGATATGGCTCTACAAATAAGAATGTGGCATTTGTAACGTTTAAACATTATAATTATATCCTTCGTTAAGGATAAACAGAGAGGGAAAGCTAAACGTAACCTAGATGCGTAAGCATGCCATGCGTGGGCGTGTTTATCCCACTTGAACGCAGAAACGTTCCTAAGTAAATACTGCAGTTAGATTATGTAAAATGAGCTCTCGCTCCTCTTGCCCTACTTTTCATTTCATATTCTTGGCCTTGGTATCAACGTCAGCTAGGGCTATGCAAACGAGATGCAACCAACAATCAATACGAACCTAACGATTTTAAATTGGCTCACCACTTTAGTAGCCTATTGGTCCCAAGCAAACGATTAACGTACCCTATTTTAGTTGAAATTCTATTACTACACTATGTTTGTTTTGATTCGCTATGAAAGTTTGACAGATAACATCAGGGGTGTGTGGATTCATGCAGAACATGCAGGGGTGAGTGAAATAGCTTGGGACTGCTTGGGACCGTTGTTCTGGTACTGAGTGAGCCAAAAATAATAATGATTTTCTTCGGGACCCAGTGGTCTTAGAGTTACCTCTATGATGCAACTATGTGGTTATCTTATGGTTTTGGTTTTAAATTAATTGCCTCGCGGTAACAGTGGGACTTTGTATGGAGTCGACCTGTCAACGAATAGATTTAGTGTCAACGATCAAAAATTTAAATCTTGATTTAAAAATTAAGATAAATGTCTCAAGGGGTGGGACAGCTTTACTATAGAAGTAACTTTAAGACCAAATGGTCCCGAAGAAACGAACTCAACTTTTTGGCTCAGCTCTGGTACTATCTTCGGTCCCAAGCTAATCGATTCACCCCTCGAAATATAGGAAAATCCACTAACCCCTCATTTTATCTGTCAAACTTTCATAGCGAACCAAAACAAACATTGTGTAGTAATAGAATTTTGACTAGAATGGGATACGTTAATCGATTTGCTTAGGAGCAATAGGCTAGTCAAGTAGTGAGCCAATTTAAAATCGTTAGTTTCCACCGGTTGGTGGTACTTTGTATGGGAGCAAGTTGTCATTTTGTTAGTTTTTTGTCAAACAGTGAAGTGATTATTTTGCCTTTAATTTAATCGTGATTTAAAAATCGAGATGGAAGTAAATGGGATCGAAAAAAAAAACCGTTGTGTTCAGAAAACGAAGCCCTTTCAGATGATGTATAGTTACCGATATGTTTTTCAAAATTAAAGAACCAAATTGTTCAGCAATGATATGATGACAACTTATCTCTTAGTTTACTAATGAACTAGTAATGCATATTACCGAAATAATTGACCACAAAAGAGAATTTAAGTTTACAGAACAGATCAGTAATGAAAATAGCAGAACCCAGTAAATTGTTTCAGAAAATACTGACCGTCAGTACCCAGGTGTGTATCAGTTAGGAAATTAATCCCATGCACACACATTTGGACATAGGAAAAATCCCAATTTTACACATAATAGCCATTCATAGCTCCAAGAAATATCCCACGATGTACTGGATAGGGCTGAAATGAACTCTCTGTTTCACATATCGGGATAAATTAAAAAAAAAAAATAAGTAACAAATCTATCACTTGCAAAACATGTTGGCATATGGCGATCAGCCGGGATGTATTTGAATCAGAATACCAAAAAATTTCGTATTACTGGGCGAATGTTGATACGAAGGATTTATATTTCACAGCGATCCGAGGGGGACGACTCTATCTACGATGCAGAAAAGATTGCGTTTTGCTGTGGCTAGCTGCGCGCACGCTGAGTTGATAGAAAGAAGATTGATGACGATTCTGAAGATTTCCTGCAAAAAGATGATGCGCGATGCAAGTAGATGCAACAAATGAAAGAAGTATAATGAGAGAGAGAAGGATTAGTATTTTCCATTTAATTCCACTACTTTATTTGCTTATCCTTGACAGATACGCGTATTTCGTCTACAATGTGCAGACTTCTTCAGTGTCTTGTACTAATACTCGACTGAAGAAAAACATCGCATGTACCGAATATATATTAACACAGGTACATTTTGACTTAGAAACTAGGTAAACTTAAATTTAATTTTCTATTGGAACAGGTACTCCGCTGCTTACTCGTTGATGTGTCCTAGGTAGTAACTTGAAAAGCCATGTGTGTCCGTTTCCTTGATCCCTGTTGAGTAAAGTTGAATTACGTTGTTTGTTGATCTCGAGGCTTTCTGCAACATCCAATTTCCATGGTGTAGATACGGTTCGTAAAATCGTTATGTCCTCCGTCGATAGTTGGTGGTCCTCTGTGAAGATGTGTTCTGCAACCTTTGATTTGAAATCATATGTTAGGCCTTTTTCTTCTTGCTTTTTGGCCTTATTAACCTCCGCTATATGTTCTTTAAATCTAGTTGCTAAAGTTCTCTTGGTTTGTCCTACGTATACTTTGTTACAATAATTACAGCTTATTTTATATACACCTGCTTTACCTAAAACATTAACTGGGTCTTTAGTGGATCCTAACAATGATTTCAACTGGTTATGTCTACTGGTGAAAACTAAATCTAATCCGAATTGTTTTAACTGTGGTCTTAGTTTACAAGTAATATCTTGATCAAATGGAACGGACACTCGTTTCAATGGTTCAGGTGCTGTGGTGAGGGTTGTAAATAATCTCCTTTGTAGAATTCTCGCTTTTTTATCGATGATTGCCTGGATTGTGGTCTCCTTGTATCCGTTGAGTCTTGCTGTTTCGAAGATGTACTGTAATTCTTTAACCTTTCCTGTATCGCTGAGTGGAAGAGTCTGCATTCGGTGAATCATGTGGTGAAAGGCGGCCATTTTCTGCTGGAACGAATGGTTGGAAGTATAGGGGATAACTCTTTTGGTGCTTGTTGGTTTCCTGTAAATTTCGTATTCAAGCGAGGATGATGACGATTCCCTGATGACTAGAAGATCGAGAAATGCGAGTTTCCCGTCTTTTTCTACCTCGTGAGTGAATTTGATATCCTTATGAATTCTGTTGATACTATAACTACGCTGAAGATATCGTCAACAAACCTCCACCAACGGTTTGGTAATAGTCCTTTCTCCTTCAGGATTGTCTCCAAGTTGGCCATGAAAAGTTCACACAAGAAGGGGGATAGGGGGTTTCCCATTGGGGCTCCTTTCGTCTGCTTGAAGAGGTTACCTCGGAAAGAGAAGTAGTTCTCTTCCATACAAAGGCGGGTCAGCTTAAGGTACGTCCGAACCTTGTTTCTCCATGCTGCATCCTCTCGTTGTGTTAATAGCCAGTCCTCCAAATGGTTGATCGCTTCCTTGACCGGTACGCTGGGAAAAAGAGCTGTGACGTCGAAAGATACCATAATCTCGTCCTCGTTGATGTCTCCTGAAGATTGTAGTTGCTGGGTGAACTCCTGGGTGTTACTAACTGCTTTACTCTGGAACTGATTCGGCATACTCTGGAACTCTTTGACTAGCCACTTCGCTAGTTTGTGGGTGGGGGAACCAACTGCAGACACGATCTCTCGCATTTCATTTCCTGGTTTGTGGACTTTGGGACGGACACACATGGCTTTTCAAGTTACTACCTAGGACACATCAACGAGTAAGCAGCGGAGTACCTGTTCCTATAGAAAATTAAATTTAAGTTTACCTAGTTTCTAAGTCAAAATGTACCTGTGTTAATATATATTCGGTAAATGCGATGTTTTTCTTCAGTCGAGTATTAGTACAAGACACTGAAGAAGTCTGCACATTGTAGACGAAATACGCGTATCTGTCAAGGATAAGCAAATAAAGTAGTGGAATTAAATGGAAAATACTAATCCTTCTCTCTCTCATTATACAGGTATTCCACTAAGACGCCCAGACATTCATCAGGAAATGAAAGAAGATTTTTCGAAGATTGATTCGCTAGTGTGAGATTTTTTGAGTATCTAAACTTGAGATTTAGATGTGTCACCCCCTCGCAGCGATCAACACTTTTGAGTTCTTCAAAAACATGGAAGTCGTGTTCCGGAGCTTGCTCAGTTTGTATGTTGCAGGAAAATGTGGAGGAGAAACTTTCACAACTCGTGGAGCTTCTTCCTCACGATTTTCATTGTCAGCACCTGAAATCGGGGCAAAAGTGGTAGCGGCTTCAGCGTTGAAGGAAATTTGATAACAGGAGCAGTCTGAATTTCATTTCTTTAATAATAGCTAATAAATTATATGTTTGCTGTTTTCAATTGCTCAATTGGGCAAAATAATTGTTTAATTTTGGGGATATTGCATTTTATACACAAAACGAAAATTAATTATTTTATTCATGTGTTTCACTCACACATTTTTGCCAAAACATCAGCCTTATACATTCCATTCGACAAACCACATAGGTCCTATAAGAATGTATAAAAGGAATGTGGACCGCTTATACATTTCATTTGACACATGATCTTCATTGACTTTTTGAAAAGCATCTGCTTTTTATATAACTTTTAGATTTTATGAATAATCAGCAATAGAAACTTGCCAAAAGGCATAATGAGATTTCTGTCCCGTGTACAAATCGAAAATAGTATCTTTTAAATTATCATAAAATTTCTTGTGGATGACATTACGAGATTTTAAATTTTCTAATAGATCAAATAATGTCAATTTCTCGGTCAATTTTTAAAACAAAAAATCAAATTAAAAATGGTTTGGTTTTTGGCACGGTTTCACTTTTATCAATTCTATTCTTGTTACCACATCCACTACTCTATCTGAAAATACTATTGATGCCTACCCTAATAAAAAATAACCATAAACGAACGATAACCCAAATCATTGAACTATTCCACAAATGGTTTGGATGATACCCACAACACGTCGTTAAGCAAATTAACCATACAATTTTTATTAGGGTATCTCGCCCTGCATCTCGCTTTTTAAAAAACTGCAACAAAAAGAAGTTATTTGAAACAAACCATATTTTTTGGCAACACTGGACGGGACTACGTGCCACAAAACGTTAAATTACAACACGTAGCATCCGCATTGAGCTGACGCGTCCTGTCCTGGATATATCCTATCTTGATATCAGAATCCATACATCCATTTTTCACTGGGACCGAGAATTTCATATTTGGCATCAGTTTAGGGTACACCCTGCATTAAATTGCAAAACAGCGCACATCTCTTTATTTTTATTACACAAGCACAGCTCCAACCTTCGAAGCACTCTTGATGTCCGTTCCGTCAAAAATCTGCCAGAAGTTGTCACGTCAATCGTCTCCTCCATCACATTCGTCGTGGTCGTCGTCGTCGTCGTGCTTTTAATTTTGCTACGTTTCAGCCAGGCAAAGTAATTAAAAAAGGCCAGAAAGGACCTCCGGAAAGTGCTACCCAAAGTGTAATCCAATCCGTTCGCTTGAAACTACCTGTGAAAATTGCGTGCCAAGTTCGAACAGCTCCTTTGCCAGCTAGTAGTGCGTGCCAGCAGAAGCAAGAGGGGTGTCTCGTTTTGGAAGCAACCTTTTTCCGAGAAGAAAAAAGCGAACCAGGAAGAAGAAACACTCGAAGCATTAGGTATGGCCAGCTACCACCAGAGCCATCATCGTGAGCGCCGGGGAGGCGGTGGAGGAGGAGGAAGTGGTAACAGGCACCACAATAATCAACATCATCATCATCAGCAACACCATCGGCACCAGCAGAACAATACTAGTAGTGACGGAAGTATCCTCAGCACCAGCAGCAGCACTGGCAATATGAAGCATTCGTCCCTGTCGGAATCATCGGAACAGAACGATACGGTTTGTGTGGTCTGCTTCAAGCCGATCCTGTTCTACGCCATCGGCGAGTGTGACCATCTGTGCTGTTTCGAGTGTTCGACCCGGATTCGGGTACTGTGCAGGCAGAATGACTGTCCGATCTGTCGTCGCGATCTGGCCAAGGTGATCTTCTCGAAGACGCTCGCCCCGTACAAGGAGCTGGACGTGAAGAATCGGTCCGGGCTGTACGACAAAAAGTATCGGATCTGCTTCACCGATCCGGACGTGCAGCAGGCGTTCTTCGAGCTGTTGGATAACAAGTGTCCCAGGTGAGTTTAATGTGATCCGGAGAGGTGGGGGAGGTGCCATTTCCTGCTGTGGACAAAACAGAGAAAATGCTGACGGTGTAGCTAGCAGCATCGAAAAAAAAAAAAAAAACCGTACGAGCAATTTCGTAACATTGGAGGGCAGCAATGATCAGTCGCAGCACAAGGGAGAAAGAGAGAGAGAGAGAGGTGTTGCGTACAGTGGTCGGAATTGGTTTGGGTACGCCTAGTCATTCATTAAGATTGCCCAACATAAGTTTCAAGTCTTTCGTCATATGACTTTCCAAAATAATATCATTACATTCAGCAATTTTAGATCCTTCCAAACACAAATCTAAATCATCCTGGTCAAACGATAATCTTAAGGACCAGGTTGTTTGTTAAATCAGCGGCTATTTGTGGACTCTACTAGTCTTATCCTTAAAACAAAGAAATGGCTAGTGAAGTGCTAACATATTTTAGGCTATATGACGAAACCAGTGGGCCTGATCCGCATAGATTGAGATACTGTAATAGTAGTTTTGTTTCAAATTCGGAAGCATACAATTTTGAACTTTTAAAATAGTCTTAAAATATTTAAAGAAATGTTTGCGCCAAAGATTCAGTATCAATTAGTTAAACAGAGAGAGTCTATACCAGAAGGTGATGCATAATTTCCATCAGTTATTGACAATTTTTTTAGGATTACTCAGTATTAGATTAGTACAAATTGACTATCTTGCTTCAATTCAGATGTAATGTGTATGAGAAAAATATTCAAGAAAGGGGTTGTTCATTAACTACGTAACAGTTTTTTTGGGATTCTTATGGGAGGGGGGCACTGCGTAGACAATTATTGTCCATACACAATTTTTAAAATTAGTATTTGGCCGTGTATAATTGCCGAAACAGCGGTTACTGCCTGAAGAATCCAAGCGGTATGATAGGATAGAAGATTCGAGCGAAGATAAGGCAGCAGCGTTTGTTGGAGGCAGAAATAAGAAGCAACGAAAGTTCAACTGAAAGTGTCATCGATGTAGCAAAACTGGCCACATGATGAAAGATTGTCGTGTCAAGAAGACCGATGGTAACGTCAACGCAGTGGTTGGAAGCAAAGCAGTTTCGTTCATGGTGAACCAGAAGCAACCGAAGGTGCAGAACAAGCGAACCATCTTCTACGTGGACTCCGGATGTAGCGACCATCTGGTTAACAGTTTAGATTGCATGCAGTCGGTCCGGAAGCTCAAACAACCTTTCGTTATTGATGTGGTCCAAGATGGTGTGTCGATTGTTGGGAAATATGAAGGCGAAGTCAAGGGGATATCCAAAGAAGGTATTCTGTTCCAGATGAAAAATGTAATTTTCGTACCAGAGCTGCGAGGCAACCTGCTTTCTGTCAAGAAGATGTCCCAAGCCGGGATTGACGTGTTGTTCACAAGCCGCGGCGGAAAACATCAGGCGTTGATAAAGCAAGGTGATGCGGCGACCGGTGTGGCGCAGTTGCGAGGAAATCTCTACGAGTTGGAGTTAGATCTGGACGTGGTAGGACCTACAGCAAATCTCTGGCACCGTCGTTTGGGTCACGCCAGTCAGACCACGATGAATACGTTAGTTCGACATTGGACCAACGTGCTTGGAAAGCAGTGCAGAGAACCCTTCAACGGAACTCGTGAGCTAGCCAGTCGACTGCTAGAGCGGATACATTCGGATGTGTGCGGACCAATCGATTCACCGGCGTGGGATGGATCGAGATATTTCGTCTCCTTTATAGATTACTACAGTCATTTTACGTGCATCTACCTGATGAAGAGAAAGTCCGAAGTCTTCGTATATTTTCAAGAGTATGAAGCCATGGTAACCACCCAGTTTAAAAAACTAATTTGCAAGCTAACTGTCGCTAACTGGCTATGCTCCAAATGGCTACCGCTTATGGGACAGAAAAGTATTCATCTCTCGTGACATCAAGTTCGATGAAGCTTCTTTACCATACGCAAATGAAGAAGATGAAGGCTCGAAGGTTCCCTTAGTGATTCCCATGCTGTATCCGCCAGAGGGGGACAATTCGTCGGCCGAACAAGAAGCAGTAGCTGTTATCGAAAGCGAAACCGAAGATGAAGTCGATCCGGATACGCAAAGCACCGTTGATCTGGATGAAGAACTAACCGAAGAAGCTCCATCCGAAAACCCTGGGGCTCCCAGGTAAGTTACTTGACTTCTTTACTGGGCTTAGAGCAACATCTGCTGGTAAAATTTCAACTCTCCCAGATCCCCCGGAATCGTACGCCGAGATCGAAGATCGTGAAGATCGACAGCTCTGGATGACCGCAGTTAGAGACGAGTTAAAATCTCTTGAGGAGAATAAGGTGTGGACGACGGTGGAATTCCCTGCCGGTGTCAAGCCTTTGCAGTCGAAGTGGGTCTTTCGCGTGAAAGAGGATGAAGAAGGAATCCATGTGCGATGCAAGGCAAGACTGGTAGTCAAAGGTTTCTTGCAGAAGGCTGGCCTGGACTACAATGAAACATATGCGCCCTTTGCGAAGTTGACGACGATTCGAATTGTGTTGGCCGTAGGTCAAGACGGCGTTCCTTCATGGTGAGATACAAAAGAGAATCTTCATGGCTGTTCCGGATGGCGTCAAGGCAGACCCTGGGCTGGTGTGCCAGCTCCAGAAATCGTTGTATGGTCTGAAGCAGTCTCCTCGTTGTTGGAACGAAAAATTCAATCAAGCGCTGCTGAAGCTAGGTTTCACGCGTTCCAAGCACAACTATTGCCCGTATCGACAAGAGGGGGAAAGACGTTGTTTTCATCGTGCTGTATGTTAATGCTGTCCTGATAGCAGGTATGCAGCTGACCACCATAATGAAGCTGAAACGCGAACTGGATATTGCTTTACAACGATACAGATCAATGAAACTAGAAGACACTATGCATGTTATGACTGATTTGAATATAGATACGCCTCTAAATCACGTTTTGTTGTTGTTGGACAGGTAACAAGTAAAGCTACGTGACGCCACACCTAAACTGCCGTGCTATTCTCCTCATAATCCCCGTACAATAATTCTCCTCAGAATAACCTACACTCTGAAAAATCTTCACGTTCGAGGGAACCCTTTTCACGCGAACCGAAGAACGCCCACGCAAACCAAGAGCACCATCGGGCAAGGGAGAATTGACCCTACCCGATGTTGTTGTTGATTTGCGTGGGCGAACTTCGGTTCTAAAGTTATGCGAGCATTACATCATGTGTTAATTTTGATTAAACACGGCACCCGCTCATAAAGGCTGACTAAAAGTAAATTAGTACGCCCCTCGCGCGCCGCTAGCACGCCTCTGGTTTTGGAAATCGAAAATCTTTGACAGTGGTTTGTTTACACTTCTATAGAGAACAACTATAGTCGCTATATTCATAGTCTGGCGGATAGAATCTCGGGAACCAGTTGAGCTGTCAAATAGTGAAACCAATCGAGCAAATCACGACCAACAACAGAAAAGAGCACATCAGCTATTACGAACAAAATTTCGGAAACCGTTTTCTCGTGACTAAAGGCTCACCTACACAAACTAACGCCATCTTTAGGGTGTGGAAAGTTTCCCCTATCCGATGATGCTGTTAATTTACCTTCGATTGGCGAGGAAAGAATGATCAACGTTTTGTTTATAAAACTTGATAGTTCCTTTTCAATTGTTGGTCTACATTGAAATGGTTCCGCTTTTTGATAGATCGAAATTCTATCCGCCAGGCTATGAATATAGCGACTATAAGAACAACTGGTGCAAGTTTGATCAAAGTAGTCGATCGCGTTCAGAAATAACCTCAAATGGAACTCGAAAGAAGAAAAAATATTGTGCACAAACACCTGGAAAATCCGGAGTGGTCCGGTTCCAAGCAGGCTAAAGTACTGAAGATGCCGAAAACAACAGCTTGTCGAGTGCTCAAAACCTACAAGGAAATCCTGAGTGTGGAAAGGAATCAGTGGACCTACGAAAAAACTGGAACCAAGGATCGTCAGCTGCGTAGCAAGGTGTTGAGGTGCGCCAACCCCGGTCTTTTGATCCGAGATGTGACCAGAAGGTACAACGCCAACTTTCAAACGGTGCGGAACATCCTTGCCAGGGAAGGATACAAGTCGTACAAAGCCAGTAAACATCCAAACCGGCACGTGAAGCAGAATTCCGTGGCCAAAAAGGCTGTAAGGCTCTTGTACGACCGTGTTTTGACGAAACACAAGGGCTGCATTTTGATCGATGGCGAAACATACGTCAAACTCTAATTTTAGGCAGCTTGCCGGTCAAAAGTTTTACATCGCGACTGGACGTGGGGATGAAGGACAGATTCAAGTTCGTGTTTGCCGACAAGTCCGCGAAAAAGGCCTTACATTTGGCAAGCGATTTGCAGTTGTGGCCTGAAAACGGAACCATTCGTCACGTCCTCGATGATGACATCCCATGTTTACATCGAAGAATGCCTGTTCATCCGCAAGCATAGGGGCAAAGTCATCTTTTGGTCTGATTTGGCCAGCTGCCACTACTCCAAGGTGGTTCTGCAGTGGTATGCTGTCAACAAGATCGATTTTGTCCTCAGGGTAATGTATCCTCCTCGACCAATCGAAAAATCCGGGGCAATTTCAAGGCAGCGACTTCGACAAAGCGGTGGGGACATCCAGCAAATGCGGGCAAAATGGAAGAAATGCGCTGATTCCGTGTCCGTTTCGAAAGTGGATCGCGAAAGTCTTCAGATATTTTGAACATAAAGCCAAGCTGCCTGTTAGCTTTAGTCAGGATGTCATTGTAGTGCGGTTTGAAGGTCAATTCACAGTCGAGTGCTACTCCTAAATCTTAGACCTGGCTAATCCTCTCTAATGTTTGCCCGGAAATGGAATAATCAAATATTATCGGGTTTTGTTTGCGGTGAAATGATATCACATTGCACTCGTTGATGCTGAGCGTCAAGAAGTTACGGGAGCACCAACTCTGCATACGATCCACAATCAGTTGCAACTCCTCACAATGCAATCGTCAGCGTAGAATAGCCGGCATCCAGGTGGCAGTAGGCACGAAAGCTCGATGACGAAAAGCGAAAACAGAAGGGGTTCCAGATTACTTCCTTGGGGAACGCCGGAAACGTTCGTGAACACTTCAGAACGAGAAGCTCCGATCTTAACGCAAAGCGAACGGTTTGTAAGGTAAGATTTGAACCACGAGATGAAGGATCCAGACACCCAAGCTTGTTCAAAAGAATGTTGAGGTCTACTCGGTCAAATGCAGCCTTGAGATCAGTGTAAACAGCGTTGATTTGTCCGCCAGAGTCCATGGTCCGAACGCAGAGTGACACGAATTCGGTCAAATTGGTTGTAACTGACCGTTTTGGGTAGAATCCATGCTGAGCCGTGGAGATGTAATTTTTTATTTTTACAAGAGCTGAAGAGGGCCTCATTGATGATGATCTCTGATACTTTGGAGCAGCAACATAGTCATGTGATGCCTCTGTAATTCTGGACATTTCTTTTATCGCCTTTCTTGTGGACGGGGAACATTGAGCAAAAAAAAACTCCTGTAGTGACAGATTAAATAACTTCACCAAGAGAGTGAGCAACGAATCCGAACACAGCTTCAGAACGGACGCAGAAATGCCGTCTGGCCCGACAGCAGACGAGAGTTTCAACATTTTAAACGGACGGAGCTCAAATGCATCTGTTGGAGAATCGCTTATAGCAATCGTGAGTTGATTTGGTGAGGCCGAAGATTCATTGAACGAACTCATGAAATGTTGAGCAAAAAGGCGTTTCAGATTTAGCGGTTTGCTCACCGAGATGAACTGACAATGGCAAACCGACTTCGTTCTGTTTTAGAGTTTACAAACGACCAGAAACGCTTTGGAATTCTGCGAAGAGATGATTGCGTACGGAAGACACATCATCGATACAGGAATGTACGAACGATGTTGGCAGTATCTTCGTAGCGATTTAGTCCTATACCCGTTTCAGTCGACGCAAATATCCTAATAATAAGTATATCAAAAGTTGCATGTTGACAGTGAAATGTCGATTGCAGTGTAGCTCAATTACTAGGGGGAGGAGGGGCATTGTGAGCATCCCGCAGTTTGGTTCTGGATCTCTAGCTGCATGAAGCAAATCAACTGGTAGTAGGTTCAATATTATCATGATATTGATCCTACCACCAACCAATTCAATGACTCAGTTACTTTTTTTTAATCTGGTGCTTTGAAATCATAAGAGGACTTCAGCCTAAACAAAATGTTTTATTTGGTGAGTTTTCACTTAAATTATAAACACCACATTTGACCCACGCGCAAATGTCGCAAAAAGACATTTCAATCGCCGTGGGAGTGTCCCGGTGGACCGTCAAAAGGGTTTTAGACCGAGAAAAGAAAGGACAACTATCCGCGAAGGTGGCCACAGGTCGTCCGAGGTCAGCTCGGGTTCCGAGGGTTATCGCTGCTATCAAAAGGAAGATTCAGGTGAATCCAGTGCGTTCAATAAGGAAAATGGCAAAGGAACACGGGATCAGTGACTTAACGGCACGGAAGATCGTAAAGGAAGATTGCGGGGCGAAGTCGAGGGCATGGATCCCGTATCAAATTCCAGAACCGACCGGTATATTAGTTCTCTTCCGGTAAAAGACGTGGCCGACGAGCGCAAGAACGTGTATCTGACCAAGCATCTTGCTAGCGTTATGGTGTTTGGATTGGTGGCTTCCGATGGCAAAAAAATGCACCCGGTGTTCATTCCAGAAGGCGACAAGGTCAACACGGAGGTTTACATCGGGAGTTTAAGTACGGTCCGAAGCCAAATGTTGTATTTCAACAAGATGGGGCTCCGTGCCACACCTCGAACCGCACTCAGAAGTGGTTGCAGGAACATCTTCCGTTCTGGGCGAAGGATATGTGGTCGCCATCCAGCCCCGATCTTAATCCGCTGGATTACTCAATATGGCGCGTCATGAAGGCCAAGGCCTGTTCTAAACGCCACCCGAGTACATCAAGCCTCAGACAAACATTGACCCGTACCTGGAGATAAATGGATCCAGACTATACATTATTAGAACCTGCCGTGCATTCCGGAAGCGTGTGGAGGCCGTTATTGCAGCAAGTGGGAACTCGATCGATAATAACCATAGTTTAAGACTCTGAGAAACATCCTCCTTTTGAATAAATAAAAAACTCAAAAACGAAATTTTTGAGAATTTTTTAAATTTTGATTGCATCTTCGTATCCGCAAATCCGTAAAAAATGGTCCACACTCCAATGCGCGTCACTGTACTTTCTCACCGTTCCCGCCTGGGTAGTGCACTGCGTCTGTCTCCTTGTTGCTTCCATTGCCCGATCCCCGAACATTTGCAATGAAACACAATTTGCATGTGCAATCCCATATGCACCGTCGTTTCAGTCCTATTCCCCATTTCTCTGCGAAAAGTAGAACGAGTCGCTTCTCCTTCTTTCTACAAAAAAAAAAGTGTCGAATGCAACCCGACGACGAGCGTCCTCCGCAACTAATATCCGTTTCGCTTGATTGCGCCGTGGCCGCGATCTTTCCTTCTTCCAGATGCGACAAGAAGAACATTCCCAAGTTCGACATACTGCGGGAGCATGTCCGCAAGTTCCACGAACTGTTCTACTGCGACATCTGCACCGAGCACCTGAAAATCTTCTCGTCCGAGCGGCGGTGCTACTCCCGGCAGGACCTGGCCATCCACCGGCGGATAGGCGACCCGGACAACGTCGGCCACCGGGGACATCCGCTGTGCGAGTACTGCGACAAGCGCTTCCTGGACAAGGACGAACTGTTCCGGCATCTACGGAAGGAGCACTTCTTCTGCCACTTTTGCGACGCCGATGGGACTAACTACTTCTACGGGTAAGTAGGCAATAAATAAAAATGCAATTTTCTTGGCAACGTTTTCGCACACACACGCTGCACACGACACCCGCCGATTAACTTAATAAGAGCACGTTGTTGTCGAAATGGGTGATGATTTATGGCGATTTAAGAATGTAGTTAATTGTGAAACTCTTTCGAATTTTTATTACAGTGACTACGAATCGCTGCGGGATCACTTCCGGCAGGAGCACTACCTGTGCGAGGAGGGCGACTGCGAGCAGGAACAGTTTACGGTGGTGTTCCGGTCGGAGATCGATTTGCGGGCGCATCGTGCTTCGGCTCACGGCAAGAGCATGAACAAGTTGGCCAACAAGCAGACGCGAACTTTAGAGCTGGAATTTAGCTACGCTCCGCGGAATCGGGACGGTGGAGGCCCTGGGACGGGTCAATCGGGCAGTGGTCCCGGAGGTGGCGGTAGAAACCATCATCGAGGTGGCAATGATCGTGGTGGTGGTGGTGGGGGCAATGGAGGAGGTGGCGGCGGTGGGAATCGTGGCGGATACGATGCAGAGAGAGATTTCGATGCGTTCTTAGGTGACGCGATGCCCATGCAGCATCCTCCCAAGCGGATAGATGCCAGCAGCGAACAGGACTTCCCGTCTTTAGGTGGAACCGGTGGTAATCCGGTGTTCCGGCCAAACAATGTATCCATACGGCAGCGGGTGTTCGGCGCCGCCGGTTTGGCTCGGACGAAAGAAAACTTCCCCGCCCTCGGATCCGAGGGCGGGGACGGACCAGGATCGGCCAGCATCAATGAAGGCTTTAGTAGTAAAATTACCGCCAGTTCTCTGTTGAAACCTAGTCAACCAATGACCAGTAGTAGTGGTGGTGGTGGTGGTGGTGGTAGTGGCAGCAGTGGCAGTGGTTCCGGACCAGGCAGGAGTCAGGGAGGCCAAGCATCGAAACCGAGCACCAGTATGATGATTCACGTGTCGAATCGACCGCCGAGTGCGGCTACTTCGAGTGGTGCTAAAAAGTCCAACGTTGCCGCCGATTTTCCTGCCTTGCCGGGTGAGTTTCGTCCAGTGCTATTATTCAGATTTTTGTTCGGCTATTGGTTGTTTTCAAGATTTTATTTGCTTGTATGATGAATGAAAAAATGTGAACTCTAAGATGGGGGCCTACCCAGTGGTTAAAAGTTGGAGCACTTACCAAAACCCTTTCCTTGATGGTCCAGGATGGGAATGTAGCAAGGCAAAAATCCCAATGATTTTGTCTTTAGTTTTAGAGGTTTTGTGTCTTCTGTGAACTTTTTCAGCTTCAAAAGTTCCTTCATTTGGCCGTTTTTTTTTTTAATTAAAGGTGCTTCTCAAAATATTGATATTCATTGATACAGTAAATAAAGACGCATGTTTGAACGTCAACCTCAAACTGTTAAACGCAGCAGTCAAGGATTACCGCCTCTCTCATTCGGTTTTAGGAAACACTGCTCAGCAACAACGTGCGTTAACTACGTGGTAAACAGGCAAAAAGGAAAATTTTAATGGCAATCTTCCTCGACCTTTCCCAAGCATTTGACTCGGTTAGCCTACGAACTCTGCTCAAAACACTAGCCAGTCAAAACATTCCAGACAAATTAATATCCTAGCTAGCATGAATATCTGCACAGAAGAATCTTGAAAGTCCATACCAGCCCGGGGACAGTGGAGGTGGTGGTAAGCGAGGGACTGCCCCAAGGAAGCCCACTTTCTCCACTACTATTCAACCTGTACACCGCACAGTGGTTGAAATAGGCATTTTCGTGCGCTTAATTAATAGCTCCTTTATCATGAAACTAAGAGATATGGTGTCTTCAGAGAAGTGTTTTAATATGTTACTGTGCTTCTTTTGATGTTTTTAGTTAAAAGATTAATCCCCCTAAAAGTGAGATCGAAAATTTATGTTTTCAACTATTCAAGATACAATGTTGGTGTCTTCGACAAAGTTGTAGAAATTTTTTTTTCAAAGAACTTTGCTGAAGACACTTAATTAATATCTTTTTTACTTTTCAAGATATGTAACGTTTATTGCCGACGGTCCCTCAAAAATGGTTTTCTCATCATAAATTTTTGTTCTACATTTTTACGGCTTTGCCATCTTCTAGTAAATTGTAGATAATAACAAAATACACAATATTGTAGAACCCCGCATTGCAGTATCTTCTGTAGAAAAAAAGTTATGGAAGTTTTTGTAGATTTTTAGACCATAATTTAGGAACTTGTAACTTAGCAGGGGGCAAAATGGGGCAATATACCTATGGTGCATCTGAAACTTTAATAAATTTACTTCAAAATGATGGCAAACATTTGTGAATGTAAGCGATTGTTGGTAAACTATGATTTAAACAAAATAGTGATAGCCGTGCCTAAATGTGCATGCTATTTCATCAGAATTGCCGCACCTAGTGTTAGAGATATCTTGTATACATTATAATGCTACTGTTGAAATCAAGTAAGCCATGACCCAAGACTTCAATAATTTTTCTGAGTCCCTTAGCAACCATCGTCAAGTGAAGTAAAATAACATTGTTTAATCTTAATTATTTGTTGGACATTGAGTGGTTTGAAAGCTCTATTGTGTACACGAATCACGGTAACAGTGCCCAGTTTTCAACTGTATAAATGGCCTCCATCGGTATGTAAAATATCTTAATTTGAAATTTGACTGTCTATGTTTTGGAATTTATGCCAAGAACTATTTTTTAAATCATTCTTATATTCCAGTTGAAATCGATAAACATCAAGCAGAAGAGCTTTTTTTGCGAACGCTAAACAAGTAGCAGACATCACTAAACTAAATCTCACAGCAATCCAACGCTGGTGGTTCAATTCTCAAATCTATAGGATCAGGTTGCGAAATCTATTCAATATCATTTGACAACTATTGTGTTGAGACAGCACGCTTGTTGGTGAAATTATATCCCTGGTACTATCTACCAGCAAGTGTCCATAAGGTTCTTATACATGGGTCTTCCATAATTGACAATTTTATGGTAACAATCGGACAACTCTCAGAAGAAGCGCAAGAGGCAAGAAATTTTTTTGAAATATTTTTACCCATCTAACACATACCGAGAATTCAACACCCGAAAGCATTCAAGACAAGCTACGAATCGTGATCTTCTGAACATGCTACTAGTGTCTTCTGATCCATTGATCACAAGTATTCGAAGATGGCCGAAGAAAACCGAAAAACCGGATGACGCGAAAAGCCTTTTGAAAAGTTTTTCTTACGATACTGAGAATGACAACGAAACCAAAAGCGAGGACGACAGCGATTCATGAAATAGACATGTTGAAAAACTTTTATTATCAATTAAATTTAATTTAATTAAATTGAACCCGATTAGCGTGCCGTATTTTTCTACTATAACCAAGAAAAAGTTTTAACACGAAACATACCTTCCAAAAGCTTACATTCACAGATGTTTGCTATCATTTTGAGGTAAATTTATTAAAGTTTCAGATGCACCATGGGTAAATTGCCCCATTTTGCCCCCTGCTAAGTTACAAGTTCATAAATTATGGTCTGAAAATCTACAAAAACTTCCATAACTTTTTTCTACAGAAGATACTGCAATGCGGTGTTCTACAATATTGTGTATTTTGTTATTATCTACAATTTACTAGAAGATGGCACAGCCGTAAAAATGTAGACCAAAAAGTTATGATGAGAAAACCATTTTTGAGGGACCGTCGGCAATAAACGTCACATATCTTGAAAAGTAAAAAAGATATTAATTAAGTGTCTTCAGTAAAGTTTTTTGAAAAAAAAATTTCTACAACTTTGTCGAAGACACCAACATTGTATCTTGAATAGTTGAAAAATAAATTTTCGATCTCACTTTTAGGGGGATTAATCTTTTAACTAAAAACATCAAAATAAGCGCAGTAACATATTGAGACACTTCTCTGAAGACACCATATCTCTTAATTTCATGATAAAGGAGCTATTAATTAAGCGCACGAAAATGCCGATTTCAACCACTGTGCACCGCTGCGTTGCATGATATACAAGAGGAATTAGTCCAGTTTGCGGATGATTTCGCCCTACTCATCACAGGAGATGACCTAGAGTCAGTCGAAGAAACAGGGAGAAATATAGAAAATGCTGCCATAAGAGAACCGCCACGGGAGTCCCCATACGGGTCCCTATCTCTATTTCCGAGTCCCACATAGCAACTTATGCCCGCACCGGTAGTAGCTAAACGGGGTTGGGAAATGAGAACGCAAATAAAAAATAAATCATAAGTTTTCATATTTGGCGCCCCACTAAAACTCTGCTCTGGGTCGCTATTTTTGCTGCTTTCGTTCACACTTTTTTCGGTTTACATTTTGTGGTTCAGTGCATTTCTTTGCGTTTTGTGAGGATGAATACCAATGCAAGAGATGAAAGCTGGACATCCGAAGAAGATACGGCGCTCCCAGGACCCCATCACAGGAACAAATTAGAAGGCAGAAACGCAACGGCAGCAGTCTAAGGATACTAGCATTCCCGGAAATCCACGATTCTTTCCAAGACGCTACAACCTCTCCACATCGTCATGTGTCGGATAGCATAGGTACTTGGGGCCGTAAATAGGAACATTGTCTCTGTCATACTGATGTGTTCAATGCAAGCTGACAGAATGTGGCGGTGCATTTTTAAAGACCAGTTAATCCTAATTTACCAGCGACATCAGGCTTTTGCACGCAGTAAGGATTCGCGGCTTATATTCTGCAACAATATTTGTAAACACGTTTCGGGACAGTCGAAACCGCTGCCTCAGAGAAATGATCCTAAAACAGTCGCTCATCTCCTACATGAGCACCCCTGTTGATATTCGGTTTTTTGCCAGGCCGAGATCTTCCAGCACGATTTTTCTCGTCTTCTTCCGCAGCCTTTAACAACAGTTCATGTGACTGGAAAAGATAATGCTGTACAACTTCAATGTCTTCCTCGTCACTTAAAATGATGGAATCAGCTGCCCCGAGAAACCATCTGCCGTCGATGCATTTGGAATATTGATAATACAACTACACAACTACTGCACATTGATCGACCGATAAAAATTAAATATTACAACAATATTACGATGTTCTTAGTGGTTATACTGTTCTGGGTTTTAGCAACACACTACAGGTAGAAAGACATTACTCAAGTTGCTAAACTCAAAATAGAAACCAACATAAATCACCGGTGGAAGAATGGGGTGCTAAGCTAAAATAGCTACCTAGATGGAGCCTTATTATAGGGATAGAGATAGCGCCTCTGTTAGCAGACACAGTTCTTGAAACAGGGGCTCGGAGTAATAATGAAACACTAGTGTTCTCTAGCTCAAAACAAGAAGGAATGAATTTTATTGTCGTCTTCGGTTTACAGTGGAACTGAACAACTGTCAAATGGGAAGTGTTGCCTGATCGGCATTCGCAGTGAAGTAAATGCTGTAAGTCGAACCTGGGGGTTCAACACTCCTCCTCAACACTAATCGGTTTGACACCAATCGCCCTTCGTAGATTCTTCAACCTAACTGCCTGTAATGGTTTGGTCAGTAAGTCTGCTTCCATATATTCAGTCGGGCAGTATTGCAGCTGCACGATGCCTTCCTGAACCAGATCCTTTGCAAAGCTGTACTTCGTATCTATATGCTTGGATTTCTTCTCGTTCCGGTCTACTTTTGTTAAGGCGATGCAGCTTTGATTGTCTTCCTTGACAGGTATCGGGTAATCCAGCTGTTCTCCGACGTCTTCCATAAGCTTGCGAATCCATTGTAATTCTTGGAGGCACTCCGCTAGTGCGATGTATTCGGCCTCGGTGCTTGACATAGTGACGCACTTCTGCTTACGACAGCCCCATCCAATAACGCCACCGTGAAACTTGAAGAGGTATCCGGAACTTGATTTGAGGTCGGACACATCACCGGCCCAATCCGCGTCAACAAAGCACTTCAGTTGCGTATTGTTACACCCAAGGCAGAGCTCCAAGTCGATCGTGTTCTTAAGATATCGCAATTCACGTTTAGCCTCATTCCAATCGCCTTCGGTTGGCGCTTG